CCGCATACTGGTGAAGAAATCGATGCTAAATTGTGCTCTGTCTTTGCAGCTTTTAATATTTCTGACAAGATTCTTTGCACCACTACCAATAGAGATGCTAACGTTGTTTTGGCAATGCGATTGCTAAAAGATAAATTAATTTTAAAAAATTATAATTTTCACTTTCAACCTCATCGCTGCTTGGCACACATATTGAATCTTATTGTTACAACTGGGTTATTACCTATTAAATCATCAATTGAAAAAGTGTGCAATTTTGTTAATGTTATTTCATCATCATCATCTATAACTCAGGATTTTAAAGAACTTGGTCAAACGGTTGGTGAAGGTGAATCGACTTGTAAAATTCCACAGAATGTTTCAACTTGTTGGAACAGTACTTATCTTATGCTTTCAGCCTACGTAACCATACCTACGACCAGTGTTGTACATTTTTAATGTTCAAACCATATTTGACGGACTCAGACATTTTTGGACATTGTCCGATGTCCATGTCCGAATTATGTTTGAGCAAATAGATTGTCATCGGACATTGTCCGAGTAATATTTGTCAAACACAGACATATTACAGACACAGACATTGTCCGACGTCCGTGCATGTTACTGTATGACAAAATTCGGGATTTACACAAAATTTCCGGATGATAAAATCTACTCTTTTTGGCAACAATTACGCCAAGAAATTGTCTTAATTCGATTACAATAGAATTTGTGCACTATAACTACATATATTGTTTTGATTAAATGCTAATATCAATTAAAAATAAAAAACGATGCTCAAATAAACTTTACAATTTTAAGTTTATTGTCTGTAGTTTATCAGTTTATCTTTTGATAGTTTTCTCAATTTAGTCTAAGCTCCAAAAAAAATATAATCCTATAACGTTGCCTGTAATGAGTATTGTCGGCATCTCTACTTTGAATGTTCCATTATTAAAACAATCGATTATGATAGTTGATTGTACATATATATTTGAGTTCTGCAAGTGCCAGGCATGATGCCGTTAAAACATAGTGCCCGGCTACCCAGACATTATGATTTAATGGCCCCATGCCCGACACTTGCAGAATCCTAGTATATATTAAACAGTAGTCAGCACTTTTATCTTAATGTCAACAATGGTCTAAATTTTACCTCTTCATTAATACGTTAGATTTCACATGCTGCTATGATTTTGTGGCTAATCTGACTGAGCATTGATAGACGCGTAAATATGTAATAATAAAATGATTCTTAAAGTTAGTCTATATTTGCGCAAGTCAATCTAGAATATCTGTTCATATAATTGCTTTGGGAAAGTTATAATGGAAATATTTTATGTTAATTAGTATTTAAAGCATCGGCATACCTGAATTTGTAATTAAAGATAGAGAATGGGAATGTAGCTTTTGCATTTTGTATTCCTTTGTCTATAACTTTAGTATTGTTCTTTCATATTGAGAATGAGTTTTTATAATAAAAAAAGTTTAGCTCACATTCGTTAATAGACAAGCCAAATATAACATAATAAATATAAGCTTTACCTGGGGAATCAGATATATATTTGACACTAAATTTCCATGGTACACATTAAACTTCGTTCAAAATGCCATTATCAATATTATTGGAAAGACATATTATTAAATCTTCTGAGAAACTCGGTAAAAGTAACATTAAAGTTTTTTGTAAAGCATGTGTTGAAGTATTGGGTGAGGAAGCAGGCAAAAACAATAGTTTTCCCAATAAAACGGATAGAATCATTTAGTACCTAAATAAATGTGCACATTTTATGGAGAAAACGATACCCGAAGAAAGAGATGAAATATTTGCTCTGTCTAATAAAAAAGTGATCTCAAATGAAAAAAGACCGGGTAAAAAAAGGTTATTTTATCTTTAATTTATTCATAAGACTAATATGAGTTTTTTTTTTTAGCTTCCCCTAGTTTTTCTTACGACACTGCATCCAATTCCTCCAAAGCTTCTTCAACACGAAAAGTTATAGTACGATCCTCTTCCTATGGGCCTCTTGATAATTACGCAGTTCGATATTGTCACAACAAGACAAAGAAAGATTTGAGATCCTTTTATTAAGGTTAACAGTATCCTGTGGGTGGGCTCTTCATTGGGTGAACAATCCTGAAGCTAAAGAATTGTTTCAATTTTTGAATCCTTGTATCAAACTCCTCGATCGTTGACTTCTTGGTGGGAGAATTTTAAAAGCAGCAGTATCTGAAAAAGATAAAGACATATATGATGAGCTTCACCAAGACTTATTTGATATTACCTTGACATTTGACGGATGGACAAATGTTAAAAATGAGCAATTGCTAGGCGTAATGGTTATTACTTCGGGTGGTAAACCACATGTGTGAAAAGTAACTGATATTAGTTTAGAAAGTGAATCACATATTGAAGTGATAGAAAAAACAAAAGGAATGATAAATGAATTACAAGATATGGATATAAAGGTTTCTGTGGTTGTTACTGACAGCACTGGACCTTATGTGGTGGCAAGGTATGTGCTATTTTTAAATTTTTTTTTAGATATTCTTAAGCTTAATATGTTAGTGATAAATTTAAATTAGTTAAATGATTAAGGGTAGAGTATACGTAGATTATTTTTATATGATATGTATAGCAGATCAAGACCTTATATATACAATAAAAATTAGCCACTGATAAAATTTTTTATAAACATAGTTAATCGTTACCAAATTTTTGTAGAACATAAATTGTAACTTCTATTTATAGTAGTAAAATTTTAAAGGCTATATTATTTTAAAAAAAATATACTTCCTTATACTGTTAAATTTGCCGGGGGAACCTCAAATTTGCCGGGGTTACACAAAAAATAAATAGTAAAAATATTTCTAAATCAGGTAATTACCCAATTAGATTTGTGCTTACTATGTAATTTGTTACACAAAAAAAAATTACCATGTATATCATATGAAAAATGATCTATGTATACTCTACCCTTAAACTAAATTTATGAGAATATAAATTGTGAGCACCACTGTTCACTAGTCAAATTATTAGATAGTTGCAGTTTTGCGTAAATATTAATGTATTGTGCATTATTTTGACTGCTAGAATTTTTTTTTTAAAAGCTTAGCATTAGTTATTTATATCTATTAAAAAAAAGTATAACATTTTAATTATATAGAGATACTTAGAATACTTTAATTCTATAAAATTAATTTAATATTAGGCGAAGATTAAGGCTTTCTGAAAGAAATATCATTTTTTTTACCTTGTTTTGCGCATCAGCTTAACTTAAGTATTGGTGAGATTTTTAAAGAATCGACAGAACTGAAGATAACTATAGACTGAGCAATTCGGCTAGCCACCTATTTTAAGAATGCTAACAATAAATATTTTATTGCCAAGTTATGTGATCAACAAAAAATAACTTACAAGAAATATTATGCTATAGCAGTTCCGGGAGAAACTCGATAGAACAGTTATTATACTGTAGCAACCACTCTTTTGCGAAGCCAACAAGCATTAAAGGTATATATATATTATATATATATATATTAATTATATATTATCATAAAATTTTTTATGTATTCTTAGATTCTTGCGCTTAATCACCAACCACCACTTGTCCAATCCTGACGGCGAACCGGAGAAAATCCAATCCTTAATCGTAATATCTTTGAAATTATTGACTCAAGCACATTTTGGACAAATTTGACAATAATTGCAGAAATTCTGTATCTGTATTGTAAAATTTTAAATATTTTACAATGTGATAATGCAAGGTTAATTCATATTATTCACGGCTTTGCATACTTAGTTCAACTATAGAATAATTATACTGACCATCAATTAGCTGAAAAAATTTTAACTCGACTGGAAAGAAGGTGGAGCAGCTGGGAACAACTTTTATTGATTTTATCTTGTTTGCTGCATCCAAAATATCGTAACCACTATTTTAGAAATAAATCAACTGTCAATTATGCTCTATTAGGCAAATATCTAGTTTACTACTATAAAGCTTGGACCAGAAAAACCCCTACTTGCATTCTGCGTGAATTTAGTAATTTTTCAATAAAGATCTACCCATTTGATGATAGTTCATATAATCACTTTAATGATATTTGGAGTTATTGGAGCTTTGTGGAAGCTTCAACAAATGAATTAGGTGTGGTGGCTTGCAAATTATATGAGGTTTGTGTGAATGCAGCTGCAGTCGAACGTCTCTGGAGCTGTATGGGCTTTTTGCAAACGGATCGAAGAAGTCGACTAGCAGTAATAACTTTTGCTTTTTTTGATTTTTTTTTTTCATTTTCCTGACAATCAATTTCTTACACTAACCTAATTCTAGAGTTAAGATTAGGGTCGAGAAAATGATACTGTATAGAGCCGCTTTGTTGTTTTTCTAATTTAATCTTATATTCTAGTCTTCAAAAGCTTTTGACATGTCTAAATTAAGAGCTGAGATTACATGGAATCATCGGAAAGAATCAAATTCTATTGAATTACTTGCACCAAATTTTCAAGAAAGCATACAAAACCAACAAGAGATTACCAATGAAGAAAATAATGAGCCTTATAATAAAACTGATCCTGAAACTGAATCAAAACTTGAACCTGAATCAAGACTTGAACCTGAACCTGAGAACGAAGATAATATGGCAAACGAAAACTTTAATGATGAAGAGATAGCAGACTCAAATTCTTTGGAGAAAGAATTTAGTCAATTTTTGGATATATGGGTGGAAATATCAGCAAATGAAACTGAAGAATTAGCGGATATAGACGAAGAAGAAGAAGAATTTTCTTTACCAGTTGATGATATTATTCACCCAGCGGTCGATTCTAGTGCCAAATGGGATCTAATTACACTTTTTAATGAATTACCATTATTGTAATTCATTTTTTCAATTTTCAATTTTAACAATTCAATTTATTTTATCATAATAATAAATAAAGAAATAAAGTTTTATAGGCTAGAGCCTTTTTAAACTTAGAATACTTTGAGATCGAAACTTGGTTTTCTACTGTACATTAGCATCTATTAAGAATTGAATGAACTTTTTATAAACTTGAAAAATTTTAGGAGCATAATCTTGTTATATAGTCTATATAATATGTGTTTAGCCTATATTTTATGCTATTGTGATATCATTTTTCAATTTTTACGAATTGAAACATGATTCGGGGATTTAATTCAGATCATGAGACTTAATGAAAAGACTATTTATACGTAATAATTACATGCTTATTAATACGATAATTGACATTAATAATAATAATAAGTTTAAGTAGTTCTCTAGTATTGCTTCATTTATTATACATGAACCAATTCTTATACTTGAATCAATCTTTTTTATTTGCAATGCTTGAATTACCCTTTTTTTTTATTCTTTATATATTTGAATCGAAATATTACATATTTTTTCTATTTATAAGTAACATGTAAGCAAAGTTATGCTAAATATTCGTTGAGCGGTAATGAATTGGAAACTAAAATGTTAAACTATTATGAGTGACGTTAGAAGCAAAAATTTAAGTTTTTACTGTGGCGAACTGATTGTATTTGTGATCAATTATCATTATGCAATATTATAAGTTTTGGGGTAAGTTCTCCACAGTGTTGCAGTGGCACGATATTATTTTTATTTGGTAAATCATTTAAACTAATTTTGGTGATTTATAATGCTTTTTTTAATGTCTAATTCAAACTAGCTTGAGTAATATACTGTCTGACGGACATGATTGGCTGGTCCGGTCTGAATCCGAGTCCGGTCCGGTCCGGTCTGAGTCCGAGTCCGGTCCGAGTGACAACACTGCCTATGACTATTTCAGCTATAATTAGACATAATAAAAATCTTGAAAAATTTAAACTTACCTACAAGATGAAACTAATCTTCAAGTCACAACCCAGTTTCTAAAGCCATTTTATGAAACCACTAACGTTCTTTCTGGTAGCACATATACAACTTTAGACATTTCGATTTTGCTAATCGACGACATCGTTGAAAATGTTTCAGCATGCATTCAGGATCCAACAAGTCCAGAATTTCTCAAAATAGCTGCAATTCAAATATCAGAAAAAATTCAAAAATATATTAACAAAATTTATGACAAAACAGCGTTTATAGCTGCTATTCTTGATCCTCGGATTAAACTAGAATTAATGCCTACTAACATGAATAATGAAGCAAATCACACTATTTTTAATAATGTTTTTCGATCAGAATATGCTAACCTTATTTTAAATAACTCCAGTACCTCCCTTACCTCCTCTATCTCATCTACCTCAATCTCTTCTACAAATTTAAAAGTACTATTGAACTTAACATATACAGAGCAAATTGCTCAAAAAAGGCAAAAAGCAAGTACCCTTACCAATAAACCGGATGAATATAATACTAGAAAAGTATAAATGCAAACACAATGTCCTGCTGATAAATAAGAACAACCATAACCAAATTTATGATAAATTAAGAAAAAAAATAGCAATCGATGGCTTAATTTTACTAAATCTAGCTCAATGTGGTGATCATGCTAGTGCTCAATATATTTTTTTATTTTATCAACTTCAGCAAAATTGAAACAACCATGCAGTTCGAACAGGTACAAGGTATAATCAGTAAAACCCAATCAGCCAACAGTCTAGAACTACCAAGACTCCCTGAAGACATTCCAGTAGATATAGCAGACATATTACCATTTACTCTACCAATCAAAGATAACTACAAAACTGTATCAGTTGCTCAAACCCTAAAACTAGTATATACATTTAGGAACTTACCAGATTTATATTTTGAAAATGTCCACATACCTCTGCCCAGCCATCCTGGGCAAGTACATCACTTGATACGAAATCCTTTTCCAATTAGAGATAGAGCCAAACTACAATTCTTATCAGAATATAGAAGGAAACTTCAAAAGCATTATATATTAA